AATGCATGTGGGTAGGAAACCCCAAACCCAACACCAGTGACGACGCTTAAAACTTTTTGGGACACACTGCCGCGCTGTGTTGATTTGTTATGTTTTCTGTTTGGTTTTGCTGCTTCATTTGTGGGATCCCCAACATGCTCAGCATTGTGTTGTTTCATCGTTCTGGACTAACCCTGAGGGCCGGTCAGCATGACTGCACTAGGCTGAGGAGGAAGGGAGGCAGAAGGAAGGAAAGAATGCTCTGGCCAGACAGACAGATGATTCTGGGGGTAGTTTCCTCAAGGGCTCCAGCTTGAGCACGCAAAGCCCAATTGCTTCAGACAGAGAGGCACCAGGACTCTCATGTTCAGAGGTACCTGAATTGCGGTGAACTGGTCTACCGAAGGCTAGTGAACTCACTGAGAGTGCACTTTATGTCTGTGGCCTCTATCGCAGCCTCTTCTCCAAAAGAAAAAAAAAAAATGAAGGGAGATATTGTGTGCACACTTATTTTATACATACCTATATATTTACTTTTCCTGTAGACTGTATACCACCAGTAAGAAAGAGTGTACAAAAGTCTGTCACTTGGTACACTATCCCACCAACAGTATAGCTTTTGCCTGCTTTCCAAAAGGTAAGAAACAATCTGATTTTTATTTATTTGTGTGTTGTTTCCACTGAGAATCAGAAATGAAAACTGTGCTTGATTACCTGTATATCTATTTAGATGATGGAATGCCTTTTCAAAGATAAATCTGTTTGCAAGTAATAACTCTACAGCATTTTACAAGGCTGACAGACAGTGACTGCAATGGGGGGAGAGTGGTGAGGACTTGGTAATATGGGTGAATGTTGAAACTACAATGTTGTTCATGTGAAACCATCATAAGATCATATATATCAAGGTTACTTAAATAAAAAATTTAAAAAACAAAGATAATCTGTTTGCTAAGCACTGTGCAGACAGCTGCTGCAGGTCACATGGCCGGCTCCCGCCTCAGGGAACATGTGCAGGTCACATGGCTGGCTCCCGCCTCGGGGAACATGTGTGTGCATGTGTGCATGTGTCTGTCCTGAGCAAGTAGTCCAGAGTGGTAGGGCTGGTGCAGGTCACCCTGTGACATGGCCAGTGGTGAGAGATTATTTTTAAATGAACGTTTTTACATTGTAGTTTCAGAACGCAATATAGAAAACAGGGAGAGAAGGGAGATATTTTATAGCCCAATAAAAATGACTGTCCTGGCTTGTTTTTATTAATTAAATACATTCCCAGAAATGTATTTCCTCAGGGAAAAAAAAAAAAGAATTTCCCTACCATCTTTAACCCCAAATGATCTTGGTTCCTTCTTGGCAGCAAATAGAAAGGGCTTGCTGTCTGGGCTCCATAATGTGTTGAAGATGATTTGTGGTCCATAGTTCAGCCTTAGAGAAACACAGAACCAACTTTAGCCATTTCACTGAGCAGGGAAAGTTTCCATGGAAGACCACAGAGTCAAAATATGAATTTCTACATTAGTCCAACCTAAGAATTACCAATGAATAAATAGCAAGGGTATCCAAAGCAAGAGCTTAGAAGAAATGGTAAAACTGTGTGGTATAGGACTGGCCATGGAAGTGGACTTGAATAAGAATACTGACTGACCACTGATGTTTATGTAGTACTTTGGGCTCTCACTAAAGAATATATGTCATGAAAGACTGTTGCTATTACTTCCCATTTTAGCTGAAGCAATATTTAATATAGTGGAAAACAAGCCTTGCTTTGGCAAGCAACCTTGTCGAGCTAAGTCGAGGCACTCCAAACTGGGGAAAAATAAACTGTAGAAAACAAGGAGAATTATTAAAATCATGTGGTGGCTTTGAGTAAAAGTTGCCTCTGATTCCCTCTAAGCCTTCTAATGTGCTTATAAAACAGAGAGACGTAGACCTATCTTTAGAGAGAGTATGTGAGCAGAGAGGCCCTATCATGGGAGGGGAGATAGGGCTTTGCAGTGCGTCCTGGTCTCCCTCCTGCACGTGTTGCAGACATGGGAATATTGTCCGATCAGCACCGTGTTTCTTTCCATCTTTGTTTTTGGAATGACATTCTGAGCACAGGTATCCCACTCTCTCACTCTCTTTTTATCCATTTAACACTGTAAGACAGGACAAGAGCACTTTCAAAGAGTAATTACATTTCCTGTTGATTTTAGATGGATGCCATCAACGTGGTCTTAATTTCAGATATATTGTTCACATGGTTATTTCCTTTTTCCATATCAACATGATCTGTCCTAGTTTTTAAATAGGGCATTCTTTTCTCCCAGTGAATATATAACTATATTCCCGTGAGATTTCAAGTTTTTATAGTACAAGTGCTTGTCAAAACACTGCAGCTCATCCCTTTAACAGTCCTTTTACACGAGCCTGCCTGAAAATAAAAGGGAAGGGATTTTCCCAGAGTGAAAATGATAGATTCACTCTCAATCCATTAAAAATGCTCTTTAGCTCCATTTTGGGTTGATTTTTTTGATTCAAGGCACAAGATGAAAATGTGATAAGTCAATATTTCAGTTAAAAACTTTTAGGATGTACTGTTTAGAAATAAACTTTTTGCTAGGATTATTTTGTTTGAACGACTTTGACTTGCTGCCCGCCTTTTCTGCCAATTTAAAGTTGACTGTACAAAGTACTGATAAACATCTTATAGAACTACTTAAAACATAACTATAACTGAGGGTGAAAATTGGTCTAAGTCACATTCAGTCAGAGAGGGAAGCGATTTCCCCGGCTCAGGTCAGGATGAAACCGGCAGGCGTGGAAGAGCAATGCCAGAGGGAGGTGCTTAGTACCGCTTGGGGTCATTTCTATGGGGCGGTCTTCAGAGGAACAAAGCAGTACAGACAAATGTAAAGATGCAGGAGTCAACTTTTATACTTTACTGTAGTAAAACTTCAAGTTCAGGCGCCATGCCCCAACACCGGCGAACTGTGTAGAGCGGATGAAGCACCCGCTGGCAGGGGGTCAAAGGAGGTTGGTTCAAGTTCAGACAGAACTGCCCCTCCCCTGGAGTGAACGTGCATTCCATCTCCCGCCTCCAAAGACCTGCGCCGCCTTTGCAAACACTCCAGACCTGCCCTCAGCTCGGTGGACACTGCCTGCATCTTTTGTCTGAATGCAATGTTACCAATCGAATGACATTTCTTTTAAAATGCCCCTAAGCAACACATTCACCATTAATCTAGCAGCATCAACAGGTCGGGAAATAGGTGGTTTTGTTAGGAGGTAAATTTTCACACAACAAGATGGTATTCTGATCTAAAAACTTTCACAATTTAATTCAGCCTTGCAAAAAATATGGACATTTAATAGCACTGACTCTCATTTTTACAAGGTACATTCTGCTAAACAAGAACACTGATTCTAAGTTATTGACATTTCATGAATGTATTAAATGGTTTTGTTAAAAAATCATAATTTCATTTCTTATAATTACTATGATGGGGTTATTTCACATTTTTAACCTTTTTAGAACTGTGCGACCCAAGTTTCTGTAGCATGTTGAAACTCCCTCCTCTCTGACCTTCAGTGTGGTATCTCTGAGTTAACTGGAGGCTCTATCACTTTAAGGGACATTTTTACAAACCACTGTGACTATAGCCCAGCAGAGTGTATATGTTACCTGAACCTTGACATGGAATCACCTTAGAAATAAATGCAGCTATAAATCTTTTCAGCATATTTATTTCTACCTAGGAGCTCTGTGAAATAGCATCATTTCTCTTGTCAGGCTTTGATATCTCAGCATCCTTAAAAGACAGTTCATTTGTGCCATCTTAGTTCTGTAACTAGTTCAACTGAAAGAATGAGATGGAGGGGCACTTGGCTGGGATCTGTACTTGGCATTCCTTCTTAGCATGAGAACAGCACACACCTCATGTCCCACGTCGTGAAAACTGTAACAGGGCTTACATTTAGGCCTGTCACACTACCGTCTGGGCAGGACTCGTGAACTCTAAGAGTATATTCTTAAGTTGTGTCAATCAAAATCATGTTTGTTGAGCACCATTCCTCTGGGCCAGCCCCGAACTGACTAGGAATGGGGGACAGAAGTGGACAATACCCTCAGGGAGCCCAGACCTGTCTGAAGACTTGAAAGTATGCAACTGTAATCACAGTGACAGGCCCTTTTAGGGAAGGTCTGTACCAAGAACCAGCAAGCTTCATGTGGACAGCATTACCCACAAGGTTCTGTTTGAGCTCGTCTTAAAAGATGAAGGCCTCTGGGCAGCCACAAAGAAAAGTCATTCAAGACAGGAAACAAGCGTGCACAGAGGACCAGGGGCACCAAAAAATGTGCTTTGTCTGGAGACTAGAAAGGAGCTCTGTGAGGCTGAAGGATCGTGTTTTCAGACAGAGTTTCAGGGATGACACGTGGGAAGCAGTGTGCGTGTAGAGGTTCTGAGTTGCCTCATCTCTGTGCCTTCAGCACAGAGCCTGGCAAATACTCAGTTCCCAGCAAATGAGCATGAAATGAATGGAGTGTAGCCCCTCACACACCAAGGCTCCTAGCCTTACCAAGAATGTAATACATTCACGCTACATATCTAACTAGTGAGCAGTGATTTATTAATAGTCAGAAAATACCAAGCCTGCAGCCTCAGGAAGGGGAATCGTATTCTTCCAGATGAAACCTCTACAGTTACAAAGACTAAAGGCAAAGTTTGACCCAATGTCAGAGGTCTCAAAGCTACACTGTAGTTTTTATGTACAACTGTTAAAACTAGTCAGTCCTACATCTGTCTCTGGTTTGTAATTAATGTCTCTTTTGACGAGCTAACCCCATGGTATAAAATGAACCAAGTTTTAGGTCTATTTGTTTCTTTTTATGGACTCTGGATGTCTAGACCATTTTTCTTTCAAAGGACACATGGACTTCAAAGTTACCACTGCAAATGGATCCTGATTACTTGCTTCAAATGGTTAATTTAGTAAAAAAAATAATCATTTTGGTGGTTTCCTGATTATTAAGTACATTTTCTTAGAGACTGGCATTCAGGACAGATTTTGTCTTGTAGGCCCCGAGTATCATTTGCATTTGAAAAGAAAACAGCATGTATCCTAAACCAAGGTCAGTTAATCTCTGCAATCTTTCTTCCTCCCAATCACTGTGAATGAGCATCTTCTCAGGACTGGAGAGATGATGACTCTTGTTTCTGCCTACTAAGGACATGACTCAGCTTCGCAGATTTTTTTTTTTTTTTTTGGCTGTACAATGGAACTTGGATGCATTTTAAATTAGCTTTCTCTAGGAATCAAAGGTAATCATTATTTCTCTTTATGATCCACATGAATATCATCATTTTTTTTCTCCTTTTGAGTGTAAGATTACTTTTGAACTTCTTGTATATTGCTGCCCTCTTTCAGAGTAACCTCTGAGGACCCCGCTTGCTCTAAGAGGACTGAGGAAATGTCTCCCAAACCTGTCCTTGCTGCACTGACCCCAACACTCAGAAGAACCTGACATGATCCAGCAATTCCACTTTTTGTAAGTGTTGGTTTTGACCTTGTGTGCGCTGTTTCTTTTCTCTGGCCAAGAATAAGGAAAACTGGACCAAGGTTTGGATCCTGGCTCTGATACTCGGGGCAGCATAAGCCTTTCATCTCGTGGGCCTCTGTAATGTTGGATAAGTCACAGTCTATCTGCTCTTCGGTTTCCTCTTGTCTAAGATGGAAGCGAGCTTTCCTTGACGGGATGCCGTGGAGAGGCAGCAGAATCATGGACAGCAAAGCCCTCCTTTAAAAGGGCTGTGTCTATATTAGGGGGCATTGGTAGCCGCAGCTTATCTTCCTATTTTAACTGAATTTCCTGTCTCCTTTTTTTGTGGTTACACTTTTTGTTTACCATAAACCATCAGAGTTGGAAGGGATGGCATCTAGATTGCCCACGAAGGCAGGCAACAACAGCTCTGTTTTGGAGATGGGTCACTGTGGTCTTTTGAGGAGCCACTAATAATAGTCTTCCAGCTGGTGAGATGGACAGAGAGGGCCACCGGTCACTCAGCAAGGCTGCTGTCAGGCATGGGCTCAGAGCACCTGACACCTGGCACACTCCATGTCATTAGGTTTAATGACTACTCCAGGTTGGCTGGCAAGCTGAAGGGCATTTTAAGTACAAATAATAGTTCTGGGCTGTGTCTTGAGTGACAGGCTATGACAGAGACCCTTCATCTTTGTGAAAACACATTTGGTTTCCATTTGTGGCTGGGACCGTACAACAAAATCAACCAGCAAAACCTCTCAGAGACCTTCACTGATACTTTGAAGTTTGGTAGCTATTAAGCTTATGTCAAATACAGAAACAGCCCTGGACAGCTAATCGCATTCATCTCAGTCCTCGAAGGGTCTAGTAGGGCACTTTACAGAAAAATTGATGATAACAACATCAGTGATGATGACAGTAATGTCTCTGCCATATCATCCCTGTGGTCACCGACTCACCAGGTGCTCAACTAACCCCCAATCGTCACTGTCCCCACTTAACGTATGAGGAAACTGAGGCTCAGAGCAGGGAAGCAACTTCCCAGTGACAGCACACTCTGTGCCGGAACTCGGGTCTTCTGGCCAGAGTCCTTTCTAATCAACTTTTCTGAAATTAAATACAACGGACTAAAAGATTCCACATCATCTCTCTGATCCACATTTACTGCTTGTTTATCAGTTGATTCTACAAGCCCTCAGCCTCCTGAAGATGCGATACAGGCCCTGCAGAGCTTCAAGGCAGAAATCATAATCTGATGTCAGGGCCATTTTGAAATGAAACATACCCTCTGAGCACCTGACACCTGGCACACTCCATGTCATTAGGTTTAATGACTACTCCAGGTTGGCTGGCAAGCTGAAGGGCATTTTAAGTACAAATAATAGTTCTGGGCTGTGTCTTGAGTGACAGGCTATGACAGAGACCCTTCATCTTTGTGAAAACACATTTGGTTTCCATTTGTGGCTGGGACCGTACAACAAAATCAACCAGCAAAACCTCTCAGAGACCTTCACTGATACTTTGAAGTTTGGTAGCTATTAAGCTTATGTCAAATACAGAAACAGCCCTGGACAGCTAATCGCATTCATCTCAGTCCTCGAAGGGTCTAGTAGGGCGCTTTACAGAAAATTGATGATAACAACATCAGTGATGATGACAGTAATGTCTGTGCCATATCATCCCTGTGGTCACCGACTCACCAGGTGCTCAACTAGCCCCCGATCGTCACTGTCCCCACTTAACATATGAGGAAACTGAGGCTCAGAGCAGGGAAGCAACTTCCCAGTGACAGCACACTCGGTGCCGGAACTCGGGTCTTCTGGCCAGAGTCCTTTCTAATCAACTTTTCTGAAATTAAATACAACGGACAAAAAGATTCCATATCATCTCTCTGATCCACATTTACTGCTTGTTTATCAGTTGATTCTACAAGCCCTCAGCCTCCTGAAGATGCGATACAGGCCCTGCAGAGCTTCAAGGCAGAAATCATAATCTGATGTCAGGGCCATTTTGAAATGAAACATACCCTCCTCTTCCTTTTTTTTTCTTTTTCCCCCTATATGGTGGTACATATGATAAGATGATTTGATGTAATTTCACCTACTCTTGAATTCTTTTGACGATCTGAAAAATTAAAGACAGCAGTTCTTGCCTCAGCATAGCCTTGTAGAGGGAAAATGCTTCTCTCTTAAGAATTCGTTGAAATCCACTGACTAACAATCCAGCCTGTTGAGAGTTAAAACCACAAGTCGTCGTCTACTGCTGGCCATGGGCAGACTGGCTCTGTGGAAGCTGACGGAGTTTGGCATGGGGACCTGAGCAAAGGAATTGAACTCCGAAAAGGATTTGTTAGCATTAAAAGACAGAACTTTCCAGGCACAAAGATGGGAAAAGTTAATTCCTACCACAGCTCCATCACCTGCTCCTCCCTTTGAGGGAGCTCTATAGAGAAACCAGCCGCCAGGGTCATTACCGTCTGTGTTAGCTGAAAATTCGATAAAGCAGCCTCCCTGGGCTAGCATGAAAAATGCTAGATTTTCATTTGAGGAACTTAATTCCTCTTTCCCGTGTTTTTGTCATGTTTGCAAATTTCATTTGCATTTTAATTTCCCATGGTTTGCCAATATCTAGACTGAGACTTGAGCTGTTGTTTCTGTTCAGGTGGAAAGCGCAGCCACGGCTGACCATCAGCGCTGACACACAGTCAGGCGACCGTCCAGGCAAGTACGTCTGGCCTCCTCCTAGGTGTCCTGAGGTCGCTTTGCTACCCAGCCCTTCAGTGAACTTAATGAATGGAAGAGCCCTGGTCCAGTTTCCAGGACAAGCTTAGTTTTGGGGGATCCTCACCCCTACCAGTAATGTCCTCTCATGACTACAAAATGAGGAGAAATCACACTAAGGAAGACTTGAGACCTTGGCCCGTTAGGACTTTTTCTAGGGGCTTTAGTCTGGAAAGACATCAGTGCCACCCAAGGGGAACAGACCCCTTCTGCACTCTGCTGTGCAGGAGCCCTGAGGAAACAGCCTCCCCCGGGCGCCAGATTCTCAGTCTCTCCTGGGTCAAGAAGCAAAGCCAGCACATCGATGGGGGCTCCTACCCGACTCCCGTATGAAGGAACAGAAAGCAAACCAGGAGATCAACACGTGAGCATCTATCATTTCTGCCAAGCAGGCAAAAATGCTGGCTCTTAGAAAGGGTCACAGCTCTGTGCCTCAGTTTCCTCATGTGTAAATTACAACCTCATCTGGCAGTTATAAGGACTACATAAAAGCAAAGCCCTTTCAGTTTCACACAGTAGCTCTTCACTGTCATTACGATGTCACCTAAAATTAACTGGAGTTTTTCTGTTTCTGTTTCCTCTAGGAAAGAATTCGGAGATTCCAATCTGATCCTCTCCCCTGTGATCTCTGTACCCAGTCTCTGTCTGTATACCACACACAATAAAGCTTGAGAGTGTCAAGTAATCCATCTGCATCTGATTTTTGTCTGGACAAAGTTGCAGGATTTTTTCAGATTGAAATATCAGTACATCTCCTGCCTCGTCTTCAACCCATTTAGTATTGACTGTTGTTGAAGCAATGGTGCCTTAAAGCCAAAATTTCATTGCTCTATCAAAGAAGCTGCCTGGGAAACATTTAAACACACTTAGCTTTCATTCAATTTCATAACACAACACATATTTCCTGACTTCAGGCATTTATTCATTCAATATATTGGCAATGCTTACATTAAATTATTCCTGTCTGTTAGTACTCAGATATTTAAGGGACTACCAAGGATCAATTTTAAAATCCTGTTATGGCAAAAAATTTGCCGAGAAGGAATCTTTTGAAATGCTTTCAGTTCATACTTCAGTCTAATCCTTTCATCCCTAACTTGGTGCTCATTAAAATGTCACCTGTATTTAACAAGCTTCCCCATGGATTCTGATGCACATCTAGGTCTGGGAACTTTTTCTTCTTTTTTTTTTTTTTTTTTAACTCTGCCTGATAATCAACACATGCAATATGGTGTTGATGTGAAGGCGATCACTTACACAGCAGAGTGTTTTCCAGGATATTAAAATGTCTGATTGTCTTAAAAAAAATTACTTAGGTTCATCACACAAACAGCATCCACCACGTCCCTAGGAAGTCATCTCCAGCTGTCTGCTAGCACTGTGAGAAGCTACTTCAAGGGCGTCTCTCAACAGACTCTTCCAGATGCTGCTGCAGACTAAATAAAGATGAAGCTAATTGTGGAGCTCTGTTACTGCAGCCTGGAAACACAGCACCATCTTTGTTTAAGGCTGTGTCTCCATGACAACACCAGATGAGAAGCAGGGTTAGTATTTCTTTGCTCCTGAACTCAGAGGGCATAGGTCGTGGCCTTCTGCAGGTGAAGTGAGCCATTCCAAGCTGCTCAGTAGGTCAACTCTGAATTTAATTAGCCCTGACATTCTCAAAGATATCACTGCTTTTAAATCTGCATGGATGCTTTTCTGCCCAGTCAGGTAGAATGGTCAGGATATCCACTGTTTGAATGACTGGTGCTGTTAATAAACATACTGTGATCTTAGGGAGAAGTGGCCAGCTGCAAGGGGGACGAGGGGGTGCTGGAGCCCCTCCTTCCGGGCACTAACCCGTTTGCCCTGCTCTGGACAATGGTGTGGGCACATTCTTTACTCCGAGTACATAGGTTTCTCTCATCTACAAAATGCTTAACACACTTCTTGGTATATAAGGTAATGCTAAATACTGAGCTGTTACTGTTCTCATGACCGTCACCGCTGTGCCACAGCTGCTTGGTTCACACAGTAGCCACTAGCTACATGTGGCTATTTAAATGTAAGTTAATTAGAATTAAGTAAAATGTAAGAATTTGTTCCTCAGTTGCACAAGCCACATTCCAAGTGCTCGGTGTGCACATGTAGCTGGTGGCCACCAGGCTGCACAGCAGAAATACAGACGGTGGCCGTCACCACAGGGTTGCCTGCTCAGTGCTGGGCCAGGCCTGGGGAAGTAGCACAGAGCAAGAACTGCCTGTAGAGTAGGACAGCATTTGTCTGCTACTCCCCCGATTGTGAAAACAGCATAAGGCTCTCTCCCAGCACACAGGGGCCCATTTCTTTTGTAGCATCTAGTAAAGCATAGTTTACATTGTGGGGAAGGGCAAGAAACAGTGTGAACAAAAAAAAAAAAACCCCATATTCCAGAAATGTTTTTCCTTCTCCCTTCTTTTCAGACACTATTTACAATGCTCTGTATTTTTTGATTCTACAGTTGTACATACCTCTTGAAAAGCAGGCAAGGTGACAACCTGATTGTCATCCACGCCTCCTGGCAGAACCCTAGAGTCAGTGGAAGGGACGGTTTTCCCGATTGACACCCAAAGGGAAGCAGTGTGCAGATTCATTGCCATCTCAATGTTGCTCAACAGCAGAAAAGCTAAGTTAAATATTCAAGGATGCGACCACAGGCTTTCACCTGATCCAAGTACTTTTCACCTGTGATTGCCTAATTTTAGAATTCTGGTGTCAACAAGAAAATGCTCAGCCCTTTCTCTCAGAGTCAAACTGACATGTCTTACTTGCCCGGTTAGTCCCTGGCATCTTTGCCTGGCAGGTTTGTAAGTGTTTGAGAGTCAGGGAAAATACAAGCAAAAAGAAAAAGATGCCTATCATTTACAACAAGCAGAATTTCTATGTAGATCATGAACAGTCGGTGATGTCAGGCATCGCTCCGAAGAGTCTCTGCTATCACTTTGCAATCCAGGGGACCGTTTACTGTCGAAGCAGCATGGAGGTGAGGAACAACAGCCAGTGTAACAGACCCAGTCCCCGGCCAGCCTCGCTGAATGGCCAAGGGCACTGCAGCTGAGCAGAACCCCCTCCCAGAATCTCGGGGGCTCCTTCCCCAAGCCAAGCTGTGAAAGGGCTACATCAGGGGATGGAGGACTGAAGACTGGCTCTGTTTTAGGACTTTCATACAAGCAAACATTTCTTTAAGGAAAAACTGATCGATTATATTGATCACTAAATGCAGTCTGTAAAACAGTACCAATGGGTCTATGTCCCAGAAGCAAAGAAAAAGATAAAAAGGAAAATCCACACAATTTTAAAAATGGCATCATCATCCATAAGCCGTAACAATCAACCTGCCCTTCTGTGAGCATCTGTGCTGGGCTGTGCCACACGCTCACACATTGCTCGCTTCGCCCTCAGGCTGCCACAAGGTGGGGGTCCCCACCCTCACCTATAGATGTGCAAGCTGTGGCTCAGGGGGGCTGAGAAAATCACCCAACATACCAGTGACAGAGCAGCCACAGAAGCCATTCGGACCCCACAGACACCAGTGTCTCTTCATTAAAGAAGTGATGTGTCCTTAGCCTGCAGGTTCATTGTTAAGCCAAAGAGAGAAAAAAAATCCCTCATCAGAGAAGATTCAGATTTATAATGCAGTCTGGAAAAAATCATTTTTTTCTCCTATCTATAGATAATGCCAGGCAGTGAGTAACCACAGGTCATCTTATCTATGGGAAAGTAAACTGCTCAAGCCAGAGCGGAGAGGAAAGACAGATGGCTACAGAACAGGAGACAGTACTGACACCAGATTGCGGCTGGGCTGTGCGTTCCCAGGGCCGGGGCTGGCGTGGCTGCAGATGCATGTGTCTGACGGCAGGGAATGGGACTCTGTCTCGAACGTGGTTAGCTTTTACCATAAAGGCATTACTGCCTGGGTTCTGAAGGCACCGCGTATGCCTATTTTAAATCCAGGCCTCTTTTTTAAGCAAATAGCCTTGTGAGGGTTCCTAAAGAAATTCCATCAAGTCCGAGAAGAAAGAAGTTTACTGTTTCTTTTGTCTACTAGTCTTCTTTTCAGTGGAGTGTGGACACAAAGCCACCAAGGTAGTCAGGGAGCACTTTTGGTGCTCGGGACTGGGCAGAAGGAAGCCGCTGCTCCTCCGGGAGTTCGCCGTGCCCAGCAGGGGGAACAGCGAACTCCCGTCAGGCATGATGCAAGGACGCCTGCCACGACTATGGGGGGCTCACAGCAGCCATTTGCTCTCCTAGGTGGCAAAGGGATGTTTTAACTGTGGCTTAAAGCATGCAGCGTGGGAGAGGCTGTTGTAGCAGAGGGACAGTCCTAAGTAAAGCCAAAGCGCATGAAAGGGTGGCAGTATTACAGGCGCTCATTCGGGGTGGCAGGTACCGAGTACCACCTCCCGGGCACCAGCTAACATTCCAAGTACTTCACATGCATTAGTAACTCTTTTAATCATAATAACCTACTGTGTGTGTGTGCACATGCATACACACAAACACACCATTTAGGCCCATTTTTCAGATGAGGAAAGTGAGGCACAGAGATTCTAAGTAACGTCCCTAATGTCACACAGCTAATGAGTAGAGGATCTTGTATACATGCTCAGCCATCTGGGCCCAGAGGTCATGCTTTTGACCATGAAAGTGCCTTCCAGGGAAAGGTCCACAGTGTGTCTGTGAAGGACCCACTTTCCAGTGCAGCTAGGACACAGGGCCTGTGAACCATGGCACTAGGGACATCTTGAACTGGGTAGTTCTTTGTCACAGGGGCTGGCCTGTGCAACATGAAGGTTTACAGCAGCTCTCTGACCTCAACCCATTAAATGCCTCTGACCCCACCTCCATTGTGCAGGGGTGCACATCGATCAAAAATGTCTCTTTGCCAAACATTCTCTGGGGACACAGTTGCCTTAGTTGAAAACCACCAGCCAAGCAACTGATGTGTGAGGTTGAAGAAAGGCAGAAAAATATACTAGAACTCAACTGAATATCCTCAGATTCTATTCTAAAGGCTGTGGGAATGACTCCAGAGAGGCAAAGGTGCCACTGGTTTAATACCTGAGAAGTAGCAGGGAAGAAGGCTTACAGAGCGTTAGGGCAGGAGGTTCTGTGAGCGGCAATACACACTTGAGCTCTCCGCTTGGGAGCAGGATGGAGTCTCGGACTTTATGAACTACATGGTCAAAACTCCGAAAGCTACAGAGAGCAAAGGATGATCTATAAGAACAGTGCAGAAATTCAGGCACGCGTCTCACCCAGCGTCCCTGGAATGCAGCCAAGCCTGGCCTGCAAGCTCAAAACTCACTCCAGGTAAGCAGGCTTCTGGATTTGGGGCAAAAGCTGACCACCCAGCCTTCTAAAGGAACTCCAATGTCAGATGCCATGCCATCGTTTAAGTGTGAACACCATATGTCAACTTTAGAGAGGCCGTTTCTGTAGAAATAGTTACTGGACACATGGCAAGAAATGGAAAAAATGGAAGAATTTCTCCCAAGTCTCTCCACAGGCATAATTTCAAAGGGGGCATATGTTTTCAGACCAGCTTTTATAAACAAGAAAAAAAAAAGGTCTACACCTGTTGTAAATATTCTACAATAAACACATTCTTTTTATAAAACAAAAGGATCAGGTTCAGAAATGCACCTCAGATGGTGAGTA